GGGAGGGGGTGGCAGACCGGCGGGGAGGTACTGGGGGGGCAGGTAAAATAAGGGGTATGCGAGGGGGGAGGATGCTGGCAGAAAACACGGGTTGCCACACGTGCAGGCAGGCTGCGGCAGCCTGGGGGGCTGGGGAAGGGACGTGGCAGCAGGCTTGGCTAAGATCTCAGCATCAGCGATGGTTTCCAGGGCACATGCTGGGAGGTCTCCACGCAGGAGCTGCCACCTGAAGCTGCTGCTTCAAGGCAAGCTTCTTGACAGGGATCCCTTTTGTCCATCGGTCCTTGCCTTTTCCTTGGCTGTTCATTTGGTAGTTACTGCTGCTGGGCACGTGGCTCCCCACCAGCTGCTCCTGCTGTTGCAGTGAGGATTTTTGGAAGACAAGGATCTCCTGTGCACTTGAGGAAAGCCTTCCTGCCTTCCTCTCCCTTGACAAAAGCACTGCTTGTCGTGGCTCAGCCTCTCTGGTCAGAGGCAGAGCAAGAGAACAGCTGCTTAAGAAGGGGGAAAACATTAGAAAGGTGATGGAAGGAAAAGGAAAGCTCACTTCGCTTCCTACCCTAAGCCCCTATGGGAAGGACTGAAATCCAGTTATGACTTCTAGCAGTCATGGGTGTGCCAGGGAGGACGCAGCCAGGTTGCTGATGGAAGAGGAGGTGTTAAAAATGCAAATAGGGGCTGCTGCGGGAAGCCCAGCATCCCAGGCAGGACAGGGGAGACAGGCGTGTCACAGGACAAAACTGCTGCTGGGTACAGCAAGGCAGCAGAGGGCAACAAATTTGATTCAGTCTGCTCCCGGGCAAGGAAGGCAGAAGAATAACAGAGGGATGGAGGAGCCCTGTAGGTCTGGAGGAGAAGCAGCAGAGAAAATGCAATAGGCAGACTCCCAGTAAAGGCTAGCCAAGCCGGCCTTCCTCAGCGGGTCCGGGAAGTTTCTGGAAGCGTGGATTGAGCCATGCCCCAGACCGCAAGGGAAGGGCTGCAGCACACCACCTGCCTCGGGCCACAGAGCTCAATGTAGTGCAGTGCTGGGCACCTCCTTTAATTCAACCCTATTGCTCGCTCGTCCCTCGCTGGCGGCCCGGCTGAGATCTCGGAGGCCGGTTTGCGCAAGTGCCACACTCAGCTGCGCAGTGGAAGTCCTGGGGGAACGGGCCACGAGCACAGAGATAGGGAGGTAACACAGGTGTCCGCATCCATAAATGTTTCTGTATTGACCGACTGGTGCGCAGTCTCCTCCCACCGGATAACGGGGATAAGGGACCATGCCAGTGCTTTTGGCAGCACTGCCCTGGGGTTGAGGTCAGGGTTGGGGGGGAAGAAGAGACCGTAGGAAAAGACCTAAAGGCAGCTAAAACAGGGGGTAGGAAACAAGACCCGAGGCTGCTTTGCAAACAGCGAAGGACAAAGCCAGTCGCAAGCCAAGCACGATACGTGAGAGGCCGGCTGCCTCCGCGCAGCCTCCTCCAG